CCTCCTCTGAGCACAGCCAGCCTGGCTCTGTATCCTGCCCTGTCCCGACATGCCGTGCTGTGGTCCCCCTGCGCTTCGTCTTAGCAGCAGCGCATTAAGAAGAAGAAAACACTCTGAGCAACTGTGTTTGCTTGCATTACAGTGACCACCTGTTGTGGCATAATATTTTAACATCAAACTGCAGTTGGGGGGGTGGGGGATTTCCTGCAGTTATCGCAAAGCGATAAAAGAAGAACAGACAGCCCCCCTGACTTTCTGTTGCCATAGATGCTGGAAGCAGACGCATGCTTCATGAGAAACGCATGGTCCAGTGTGTCAAGTCATGCGGACAATAAGAGTAACACTGGAGGCATTGATCTGTGCTTCCCAAACAACATGATAAACAGAGAAGCCTAATTACAGACACAGAGAGAAGGGGGTATCACTCCTCCGAACATATAGTCCATAGATCTGCCACTTACTGTATTTAAGTCGCACAGGAACCACAGAGCTGAATGTGCAACTTTGTTTGCGATTTACTTGTCTGGGAAGTGAGATATAAGGTGTATGTTCTCACCATCAGAGCATCTGGAGACATTTTGACATTATGATCCATGATGCAATGTTTCCTCCAAGGCACTAGGGGGAGTAGTATGACACGTCTTCACAAGGGTGTGTTGACCCTAAAGGGGTACAGGACTAAAGCAAAGCAAAGGGTGGAGAAAACCACGCTCCTGTGGGACGGGAGAGACAACAAATTGTCATCATGCCCCTCCTGTGGACAGTAAAGCAGACATTTACTAATTAGCCCATCAAGCGAATCCCATCAATGCCGATAGATGGCTGTGTGCTTGACGCAGTGTTTCAGCCAGGTTCACGGAGCGGGCGTTTCATTTTCCCCGTCTCTGCATAATGGGCAGCAATGCTCCGGCTGTCTGCCTCCAAGGTAGGGAATCTGCAGCCAGAGCTCGGACATTTTCGGCCTGAAAGAGGCGCAGCGTCGCATTATCAGCTAGCTGGGAGGTATTGCAACAATGCTCTGCTGCATGTCGATAACCTCCACGAATGAGCCTTTCAGTCAATTGCTGGTTTCCTTCATCAGAAGGTTTCAGATGGCTTTTTTTAAAAAAAAAAAAATGGAACAGGCAAGCATCTCAGAGCCTCTGGGTTGGACCCGCTCTGTGCCCAAATGCCTCTGGCATTACCGTGACATCCTCGCCTCGCTGTGGTCCATCCTGGCAGGAGGGGCACCCAGGCCTGATCCGGGTCTGTCACAGCGGAGTCCCAGCACTGGAAGGATTCTCATATAAAACCACCAGTGCCAGTGGGCCCGAATCATCACTGATCCCCTCTTCTCTTTATGCTGCAAGGACATCGGGACCATCTGATGGAGGGGAGGGTGCCATGGCGCTGAAGGCCAGTTTCTGAAATATGAAAAACAGTGCGACCCCGGCAGCTGTTTCCAGTTTAATAAAGCCTGCGTCAAGAACAAAATGAACAAACAAAATGCAGTGCGCCGTCCGCACCTCCCACGGCAATGATCCGTGTGAGAGCCGCTCGCTTCGGGGGGGTCCTGTTTACACTGCAATATGAGTGACTCATCAGTAAATTTCCCGCATAACTCACGTTGCACTTAATCCTGATGGGGGCGCTCTTTCAGGGGAGTGAGATCCTCTCCGGCTCCATCTTAATGACCGAGCTCCTCATCGCCAGATCCTCATCAGTATTGCCTTGATTGTTCAGACCCCGATCTCTCCCCAGAAACTGTGTCCAGGCCACCGCGGGCATTTTTCACCTTCCCATCATGCATTTCTATGGCCCCCTGCCAGCAGTCCCTGGGGATCGCTGTCCCGCTCTTGCGTGCTATTGTTCATTCTTCGCGCGTGCGAACGCCATGTTGGCCAAAAGACCACAAGGCTGCCTCTCTTTTCAGTTTCTGTTCACGTCAGGCTCCGCGGAATGGCAGAAAAATAACTCTTTTTAGCGGCGGACTCTCCGCAGGTATTTCTGGAAGGTTCTGACGCCTCTGACCTTAGTCTGCCTGCTACAGCTGGAATTGATTTATTCAACTGTTAGACTTCTGTGGCAAGATAAGCTAGCCACGTTTTTCTCTACTTTTCAAAGCAGAACTTCTGACTTTGTTGTATCTGCCTGAAGATTAATAGACCACAAGTTACCATAAGTAAGGCGATAAGTGCTGTGTTTAGTTCCTGTGTGTTGTGCTTCTCGTGGAGGGTCTGTGGGGGACTTGGCCGTCCTTATGGGGATGCTATTGCAGGCCAGTGGGTGTCCAGAAGCACCATCTGTCTCCAGATGCTGCTGCTAAATATGGCTTCTGCTAAATGCAGCCATCACTCAGTGTGGCTATCGCTTAATGTCATTGCTTAGTGTGGCTATTGCTTAACGTCGCCACCCTGCGACTATCACTTAATGACAACGTTCTATAGCTATCATTTAACGTCATCACTCAATGTTGCCCTACGGCTATCACTTAAGGTCATCGCTCTATGAGGCTATCACTTAATGACGGCATTCTCTGACTATCGCTTAACGTCATTAATCAGCGTGGCTATCGCTTAACGCCATCGCTCAGTTTGGCTATTGCTTAACGTCTTTGCCCTACGGCTATCACTTAATGTTGTTGCTCAGTGTGACATCACTTAACATCATCGCTCTACGGTTATCATTTAACGTTGTTACTCTGTGTCTGTGACTTAATGTTGTTGCTCAGCTTGGCTATCCCTTAATATCGTCGCTCAGCACGGCTATCACTTAACATTGTCACTCTGCAGCTACTGCTTAGCGTCCTATAGGTCTTTCACTTTCTGTAATCTCTCTTTGGCTATTGCTTAACGTTATCGCTCAATGGAAATTGTTTAATGTCATCACTCAGCATTGCAATGGCTTAACATCTTTGCTCTGCAGCTGTTGCTTAACAGTGCCGCTCACCATGGCTATCCCTTAACGTCTCTCTGTGACTACCACTTAACATTGCTGCTCAGCGTGGCTATTTCTTAAAATCTTTGTCCTGTGTCTATTGCTTAACATCGTTGCTCAGTGAGGAAACCACTTCACATCATCACTCTGCTGGTACCACTTACTGTTGTAGCTCTGAAGCTATTCCTTAACATCACTGTTCTGTGGCTATCACTTAACATCATCACTCAATGGGTATCGCCTAACGTTATCACTTGCCACTGCATTTATTTTAATGCTACTAATGGTAACAACATAGGTCTGCAAACGACAGCCTGGAGCATTAGTTTTGATTGGTGGATCATTCATACAGGACGCATTAAGGCATTCATGCTTTGAGGGTACTCTGACTAACTTCTGTCAGTAGTACTTTAATGGCGTGACAATCCCCATTTTGTGGGGGGGGGGGAAGCGATCCATGCCTCTGTTACGTGAGTAATTGTCCTGGGGCGGGCAGAGATGGTCCCAGCTGCGTTCTTAACAGAAAGTTCCGCCTGAGATGCTAAGTCTCTAGCTGCTGACATCTCTGACATTCAGCGGCTCCATGCAGCGTGTGTATGTGTGTGTGCTTTAATAAAACATATGACAGTCTGTGCTGGATGATGTCCGCATAGCATGGCGGGGTAAATGGCCGGGTTTCTCAGACATGGCTCTTATCGCTCCGTGTCTTTCACTCTCTGTCTCACACGCACTCCGGTCGCTTCTCCGAACATTCGCAGAGGTCTCCATACATCTGAGCGCTGGACTAACAGCCTTCACTTCACTAGCCGTCCGCTGTGCTCCATCTGTCCCACATCCGTAGGCTGATTCTCACCTCTCATGCCGGGTGAGACAGCAATGTCAGTGTATAGCTCTTGACTGGGATACCGGAAAGCCCGCAAGTCCCCTTCCTCTCACGATCTCCAGTAACATTCAACATCACCTTGCAAGCCTCTGTTACCAGTACCAATAAAATTCCGGGGTCGTTTGCTGACTTTCAGCGAAACCCAACATATCTCTGATCTTGCCTCCGGGGTCCCCCTCTATCCCACTGACAGGGTTTTGCTATCCAAAAAAGTGAATGTAAACTCTGTACTTCCTTTCATTAACCAGAGCGACTGTTTCACTTACGTGTTTTTCCTTACCGAGCATCAGCCTTGGCTCGTTAGTTTGCAGTTCACTTACGAGCTCTTACACCACACATACCGCTGGCATGCAGTAAACAACAGCAGTAAAATGTAAAGCATTAATATTTAATACTGTGTGTGCAGCGTTTCGCTGGCGCGATCGCATTACACGAATTTCTAAACCTGGTCTATAAACACCAGAACAAGATGTGAGAAATAAAATGCTTAATAAAATGTGTAATTATATATGATGCTGGATTCACATAATGATTATATATACATCATTATTATAGACTTACGTATGATGAGTATAGTTTTCAAGTTGATTATATATTTCTAATAAATCGCAGACTGTGAGCAGTTATAAAAATCATGCTATTATATCGGATTTTCCCGTCGTGGCAAATAAGTTCATTTATATGCATCTGTCGAAACATGACACTGAGGATTTTACTGAACAGCGATTAAACCGGCTGTTAAAAACGTCGATTTTATTTTAAAAGATTGGGAAATGTGCATGGTCCCCGTTTTGTTCGTGGAATCTGCAGGGTGCTGGTGTCTTGGTGAGAAAAGGGGCACCCACGTGCTGTCATCACCTGAAGGCCTGAAAGGAAATAGATCTGACGGATAAGTATTAAAATCAATCGGATAATCGGCCTACGGTGTTCTTCTGATTTAGAGGAACCTCAGAAATTCCTTGTACTAATTCTTATTAGACTCATTAGCAATTCTAAAAGTATTCGCCTAAATTATTAACGACGTCTAATTTGTTTTTAGGAGTTAATCCGCATATTATTATATTGCTGATGAGCGCACCTTGCCGTGCGCTGCGCTAGTTTCGCCACAAGGGGGAGCAGCGGCACCAGTCGCTGCCCGTCCGCCGCTCCTCCCTCCCTCCCTCCCTCCCTCCCCTCATCTCCAGCAGACGCAGCAGCCCTCCGAAGCCGAGCGGCGGCACTCCGGCAGCGGCGTGTCCCGCAGCCCACAGCGCGAACATGGTCGGCGCTCCGTGCGCTCGCAGGCTGGCGCGGCGCTCTCGCTCCGCCCTGGCCGCGGCGCTCACCGTGCTGCTGCTGCTGCAGACGCTCGTTGTATGGAACTTCAGCAGCCTGGACCCGGGGGAGGACGGCGGGGACGGTGGTGACGGCGTGCCAGCGGACGGGAAAGGTGCCCTGCGCTCCGGCGGGTACCTTAAAAGCGGGCTCACGAAGCAGTACCGCCGACTCGGGAAGCGATCCGCTCGGCATGAGCAGCAGCCGGTAATACGCTCAGCCGCCACAGCACTGCGCTTGAAAAGCTGCTTATTTAATCTTCATCTTCATCTTCATTTTCATTTTTCATGCACTGACTTATGCATCATTTTTATAACAAGTCGGCGCATCTGCGCAGCGCACATCTAAAGATGAATAAAAGCGCATCTAGACTCATCGCCTCAGTCTACAGCCCGACTCGCCGGAGAGGTGGTCGTCCAAGCCCCGGGTGCATGCTTGTGTGTTTCCTTCCCTGGCTGCCGATGTGTCCCCAGGCATGTCCGAAGTATGAGGGGGACCTACCCCCCCAAATACGATACTGCTGGGGGTGTCAGCTTTTTCGGGTTTAACGTAAAGACACGTATAACCTGGTGAAATCACCATGTGGAGACGCTCCTGTCTCGTGTCAGCATGCTTCGGCGTAATTAGGTAATTTCCTAAGTTGTGCTGCGACACTGCGTTGGGTGTCAGTGTCCGGACCGGTCCGGGCGGGTGGGTGTCATTGGCCACGCAGGGCGCTATATAGGCGGACCGGCTACGTGTTGATACCTGGGGCATCAGACGCGCCGTTTACGGCGGCGGGATATTATTGTACAGCAATTAGAAAGTGGGCTATTCTCTGTGATTTGTCAGGAAATACATTTATTTCCCATCTATTATTTGTATTATTCACGGAAAAACCGAGGCGAACTGATCTCGGTGATTTTGTGCTCGCTGAAGGATTTTCCTGCAATTTTTTTTATAAATATGCATAATATAAAATATGCATATATTTGGATTTGAAAGAAAGAAACGGTTATATAATTTAATGTAAATAATTTTTAATTTAAAAAGTGTGATTTTGTTATAAAAAGGAATGTTTTTATTGTTGAATTGACTCATTTGGGCTGCGGGGCACACTGGACTGGGTTCAGTAACAAACGCGCGGCATTGTGTGTTATAACGCTTTATAGTGAATTTATGTACTGGCTGATATTCAGTAGATGATTACGGGCAGTTCATAGTAAACAACCTTTAACATCACGTTGCGCGAATTCCTCTCATTTTTGCTGTTGATTAATTACCCGGACGCGGCAAATGAACCGTGATCTGTAATTGTTTAAACTTCATGACAACGTCTTGCGCGGCCCCGTCCTCCTTTATTTCTGCGCGTTTGCAGTTATATCATCACGACATCAGTTTATTGTGTTCCCGGAAACAATAAGCTCAATTAATTCCCGATGTATATTGTACCTTTCTGGCCTTTTATTTTTCTGGTTTTAGTGCCTCGTGCTTATTTTTCAAGTTGCACTTCAAAAAATGGCATGGTTTTCTGTTATGAACAGCCTAGTTGTGTGCTCTGACATCGGAACAGCCTGCCGGAGAGCTGGTGTCCCTCGGATGGCGCTGGTTGGGATGCTGAATTTACGGAGCGGATCGGATCCTGTCGTCTGGTCCCATCCGCTCGCGTCTCCTCCATGATTCACATACCCACATCAGGGCAATTTCCGACCTGAGAGGACCGGTGTGGAATGCCATCGAGCCTGCGACCCTCTCCCTGGCTACACACACACAGAAATCTGCTTCTGTGGCTCAGTGCCTGCTCGCCCCACTGTTTTTATCGCCTCCGTAAGGCTGTCGCTCTGGACGGCTGGAGGGATTAAGGCCGGGGACCCCTGGCCACGCGATTATGTCGACTCTACTCTTCCCTTTTCTGAGTAGCTGACAGAATTCACACGTGACTTTTCCCCGAGTTCTGCAGTCAGCGGACTTCAGGCGGCATGTAAACAGAGGTTTTTCAGGGTCTTTCTGAGGAGACAAGTGGGACTAATTGATTATAGAAGCCATTGATTTTCGTCCTTGCATCTCCGGCCAGGACGCCTCCGGCGCCGCGAGCCGAGCGGCCGAAAGGCGCGGGGCAGGACTTTGTGAAAAGGCAAACAAAATGTCGGCTCTGACTATAATTCGTACCTTGGAGCGAGAGGCCCAGCTGTCCCGTTGTGTACATGTGCTCTGGGCCGCTCGCACGGCACGGATGTCAACAGAGGGGCCACGCCGCTTAGAAATGGCACTTTAAGTGGATTTTGGTTATTTAAACAATGATACTAAGTAACTTTTTATTTGTGAAAGATGGGCCGTGTTTTTCCACAGCAGCTGTTTTAAAGGCAGCTCTGTGCCGGGGGCAGCAGGGAGGCACTGGGTGGGGGTGGGGGGGGGTTCCCAAGATTCAAGATTCTTTATTCGTCACATACATAGTTATAACAAGTACATGTAGTGAAATGAACCCTGACCAATCCAAAGACTGTTTGTCCAGGGGACAGACATAGGACAGCTGAACTTGAACAGGCACGATATTGCCCCGCGCCACATCCCTCCGTCTGACCAGGAGAGCGGCGTCATAATCGAGGTCTGCTTGGGGTCGTACCCCGACACGCAGGCTGGTGATGCCTCATGCTGCGGGGTTTGGCCCAGCATCCTGCCGCAGTTCTGCCCCTCGGAGTCTTATAGCCCCTTTTCACCTGCACAGAGATCGCGAGGCTGGGAACGGGCCGTCATTTAGAGTGACGCCTTAACCTCTGATTCTCTTTCTCTCTGTTTCCTCCATATTCTCTCAGTTCCTCTATCTCCTTTTCAAGTCTATCTCTTTCACTCTGTTTCCGTCCTCTCTCTGCCTCTCTCTCTCCTTTTCACATCTCTCTCTTTTTCTCTCATTCACATCCCCCTTTTCTCTTTTTTCTCTCTCCTCACATTTTCCTCTTCCCTCTTTCCTTTTCGCATCTCCCGCTTTCTCTCTGATTCCCTCTTTTTTACATTTCCCTCTTTCTGTTTCTTTCAAATCTCCCTTTTTCTCTCTCTGTTTCTTTCTCTTTCACGTCTCCCAGTCTCTCTTTCTCTCTCCCTTTTTCTCACCCCCCCCCCTCTTTCTCTCTCCCTTTCCCCCTCTCTATTCCCCCCTTACCACCTCTCTCTTCCCCTGTCTCTCACGTTTCCCATCTCTCCCTTCTCAAATTCCTTCACCGTGGTCCAGTGTCCTTGCTGGTGGGGTCTGTTCTTGCCCACTCACACTTCAGTGCCGAAAATTGGTGTGGACAGTGCAGTCAAGGAGGTGTCCATTAAAGTACAGTAGGGGAGGGCCCCCACCCTGATAACTCCCCCCCACCCGGCATGTTCAGAGGGGCTCGTCCGTGAGCCACATTAACGCCTCATGCACGAGGTGTGTTGAATCTTTAAAGACCCAATAAATCACCATAAAAGCAATTAGAAGAGGGGGGCGGTGGACCAGGACGGTGGGGGTGAGTGTTGGGGGCGGGGCTTGCTTAGACAGAGCTGAATTCACTTTCGTTAAAATCCGTATCGTATGGAATATCCTCTGTTCATATGATCTCATGCTGATGTCCACTGTAATACTGATGGCATCAAGCACTGGCTCTTGGGGCTCCGCTCAGTCCGGATTTGATTGAAGGTACCAGGTTCTCGGGTCAGTAACGGAAGGCTCGCTTCCTTAGATCGTAAACCGCCCAGGTAACCTGAAGAGGGATCGATGTGCCAGGGCTCTGATCTAGGGCCTCAGCCCAGCGGCTGAAAAGTGGACGTAAATAGCACTGGCCGTTATATAATGTGTAATCATACGGCAGGAGCCGGGCTGCGGAAACCGGCCTCGCTGCCCTTTTCTTCCCCTTGATGTATATGTGATTCTATAAATGCGTGAGTAATTGGAGGGTGTGTCGCAAATAACACGGGGAGTGAAGATGAGAGGGGAGGACGACTCCCGACGTGTGGCGGGCACCTAGAACCTTCCAAGATCCACAAGATCCAGTGTCTTTGAGGTGGGATCGGGTGGGGCTGCTCCAGAACCCTTCGGGATCTGGGGGCTGTGATTTTCTGGTGCCAATTCGGCCAGGTCATTTATTTATGGATCTGAATGCCGCAATGCTCGTTCCTAATGGCCGCCACTTGGCTTCCCGACAACACGGCGTCCGCACGGGTTGTCAGGGTCGTTATAATTGATTTTGGAGATAATTACGGCACTTCAGGATAATAGTGCCGCTCCCTGGCAGGTAGTGGCGGGTGGGGAGAACTTCAGAAGCACTCCGCGTCAGCTGGTACTGTATGTGGCGGTGCATTCTGGGTAAGGCCGGGGGGCGGCAGCGCCGAAAATGGCTGCGTGTTAAGCTATGAAATCTGTGACCTCCAAGTACTGGATTGGGCCTGCTTAAAATGTCACTTGGCGCCGGAAGAGGGGTGGGGGGGTCTATTGCTCAGTGAGATATACGAGGGAGCCATTATCTTATTGAGTAATATGTTTGTTTTATGAGCAAAGGCGAGGAGGACACCTGGAACTAATAGTGAAATGGATTTTGAGGACCTTCTTTTGATCTTATCAGCTGTGTGTGTATGTCTGGGCTGATTCTCCGTGTGTCAGACTTGATGGAGATTCGCTGAAATATACCGTCCCCCTTTTCGGGGGCTGCGTATGACGGAGAACGCGACTTTAATCCTCTGCAGATTGGAAATATTCATTGATGTCATCGGAAGTTATGGCGCAATTTAAATCTCTCGTCAGATAACCGAAATTTGATTTAAAATCAATCACACGGATCCGCATGCTGTTTGATCAGCCCTGCTATTTCGTTAAAAAAAAGAGAAAAAAACACAGCTTCTGGGTTTTAGAGATAATGGGATGGTTGCCACAATTCTGCTAGAAGACGGCGGATTTTGAAACGTATGTGCGTGATCTAGGCGAGGTCGTCTCGGGGGGGACGGCGCCCCCATGTGGAGAGATTCAGCTGCCCAAACTCCTGAGTGGTCTTGCAACCCGTTTTAGTGCAATTTCTGTTTAACGCGAAAAACCCCCAAGTCATGGGACACCTTGCCTGAGAATCTGGTCCCCGTTTGGTGCGTCTGGAACATACCAAAAGTGGTGGTCAGTTGAAATGTGTAAAATCTGATGTGGGACTTCGAACGACTGGGGCGGGGAGGAGGGGGAATAACCGGCGCCCCCCCACGGCGGTGACACGGCGACACGCTGT